CCATCCATCCATCCATCCATCCATCCATCCATCCATCCATCCATCCAAAAGGTCTGTCTGTTTGCCTGCCTGCCTGCCTGCCTTCCTGCCTGCCTACCTACCTGCCTGCCTGCCTGTCTGTCTGTCTATCCATCCATCCATCCATCCATCCATCCATCCATCCATCCATGTTCAAAGCAGGCACATCGGGAAAGTAGAGCAAAGCCAGTCTGAGAGGGAGGGAGGGAAGGAGGGAGGGAGAGAGAGAGAGAAAGAGACAGAAAGAGAGAGACCTGATGCATCAGATTGAAATGAGGCCTAGTTTAGACTGAGGCCCTTTTCCACATTGAAACATCTTTGCCAGCACATTGAAACATCTTTGGCTTCTATTAAAGGTTTTGTGGATGAAACATGGCTAAGACTATCAGGAAGCTCTCACATTTTGTTGAGGCTTTAAACAGGATCCATTGGACCAGATCTCCACCCTAAAAATTACTTTTCCCCAATGTATTACAGTGCCAATTCTGAAGAAGGCAAAACCAAAATGTACTGGTAAATTACAAGGAGAACACACACACACACACACACACACACACACACACACACACACTCCCTTCTAACCCTGCTGGAGCAGGTGATTGGACTAGAATAGATATCTCATTATCTTTCTTCTCCCTCCCTCCCTCCTTCTTTATTTATTTTTCTTTCTGTCCCTTCCTTCCATCCCCCCCTCTTTCTTTGTCCTTTTTTCTTTCTTTCCCTTTTCTCTTTATTTTCTTCCTCTCTTCCTCTCTTTCTTTGTTCTCTCTCTTTCCCCCTCTCAGGCTCATCCCTTTGGATCAGGGATTGCCAAACTTTTGGACCTCAGGGACCGCCAAACTCATAATTTTAAATCCCGGAGACCACTAATATGAATTTTGACTGACGGTGGCTTTCTGGCGTTGGTGGGAGAGAGAGAGAGATCTGATCCAACCTCTCTCTCTCCCTCTCTCTCACACACACAGGCAGGGGCGGGATTTAGACCCCTGATCTAAAGCTGTCAAAACTCCCAAAACTGGTCAAGTAGCTCTGGGGAGGCCAGTCATAAATTAGAACACTTGCTAAACAATGGGTCATTAAGTGAGGACCACTTGTATTAGGTTTGCCAGTCACCTGGCCATGCCCACCCAGTCACATGACCAGCAAGCCACGCTCACCCAGTCATGTGACCAGCAAACCACACCCTCAAATTAGGCCACACCCACAGAAATTTGAATCCCACCCCTGGGTGGGGGGCACCGAGGATGAGTTTGTAGCACCAAGGGGGCAACGGACCGAAAACGTTTGGAAACCACTGATTTAGAGCAAGCAAAGTGGACTTTCTCTGGGCAATTTAGATAACAGGAACCATGCTGGATCACACCATGTCCAACCAAATGCATAAGCTCCAGAAAGCAGTAACACTCTTCCCATCATTGGGTAAAGGGGTTTCAGGGTTTGGTGACCCTAATCTAAACAACAGAGTTGGCAGTGAAACATAAGAAACTTTGTGTCTTTGGTCTTTGTGTCAAGACCAAAGTCACTAAACCTTGAAGCTCAACCCTACCCAATACATACCTACTAACCCTGAAAGCCTAAACCAGTATACAATATATTCCTCTTCCTCCTATTGTCCCCCTCCAACAACTGAAGTTTAAGGCATACTACTTTGGATAATTTGACATTATTTTCATGTGTATATTCTGCCTTTCACTCAGAAATATTCATAGCATTCCCTACTCCTATCCTTCCCTACAACCACTCAGTCATATAGGTTGGTGTAAGAGACAGTGGCAAACACAAAATCCCTCATGGCAACTCGTAAATCATTCCTATGTCTGTTCAGAACCCTGACACCTCACACTAGCTCTGCCATTTTATGTTTAATGCCATTTTATGTTTAAAAATCAAATGAAATAAAATGGTCTTATTTACACTTTATAAAGTGCATTTTTACTGAAGGGAAACTGGGAAAATTGCTTCAAATTGGCTTTCATTATGAAGAACTTCACATTTTAGCTGCAAAAAAAATAATTTAATTTTTTTTATAATAGAAACTTTTTTCAGTTGTTGGTACACAAAGGTTAGATTTATTTAAATCAAAGTAAGTGATGTGTAACATAATCAAGTTAACAAAAAAAGTTCTGTTTTCTGATGCATGTCAAGTGGTTTTTATAATTTTGTTAACTGACTGGTTATTTATTTATATCCTGCCTTTATTATTTTTATAAATAATAATCTAAATAATTAATTAGTTAAGCAGTTAATTATAACTATTATACTTAAAGGACATAATTAAAAAGTTGCCTACCATATGTTTTATCTTGTGCTGTCCAGACAGTTTGGAGTTAATGGGATTTGGGATAGTTAGTTAGGAATTGAGAGCTGTTGAATTGAGAGTTGATAGGATGCCTGATGAACCAATAAAACAGACTTTGTATGGATACTTTGTGGAGTTGCTCTGTCTGCTTTATACCCATCCAGAGCATAATAAGCAGAACATATCTATTATTAAAGGTAAATTGTAAATTAAGAATATCTGATAATTTCTGCTTTAAAACACTAAATTAGATTACATGCTTGAAAATTAATTGCCTAGAAGAGAGGTATCAACACTTCCTTTGTAAAGTTTCAGATTGTTTATAAGCCCCCAAACACTATATGAAAAATAATTTAATTAATATTGCTTTAACTAATAGTATTATTAATAATAAAACAATACTAATAGAAAATAGATAAATTTTACCTTCAGGATTAAGGACTGGTATGAAATTCTACAGAGATCTCAAAAGGATAATTGAGCCCAGTTGACCTTCCACCATTCATCAACACTCTTTTGATCCTCAACCATCTGTCCATTCCCACCCTTGAATAACCACAGCGGCTTTTAGTGGTCAGTACTGACCAGTTTGCAGAACCCAACTAGAATTTAGAAGCAAGGACTAACAGAACACTTCCTAAGACTTTAACACTGATGCCAGTTGTTTTATATGAATTGAGTTCAGGCTTTTCTAGCACATTCTCCATTTTCTTCATCACCCAAGAATTTAGCATTTACAAGAAACATTACATCATTCAAAAGGTTGGACTTCACCAAACAGCTCCAAATTACTGTCTTGGTTTCAAGCTACTGCTCGAATAATGTTTATATGTTGTAACTACAGGTTGGTTTTTCTGATTTATCTAACCTGTTATGAAAGTTCTTTAAAACTGAAAAGTTTGGACATTTATTTTATTTATTTATTTATTTATTTATTTATTTATTTATTTATTTATTTATTT